TCTCTTTGACTAGTCTATCAAGTTTTCAAAGATTTAAGATTCGTAAACTAACATGATACGAAAGTGTCACCTTCATAATTAACTTACAATTTCTGGTTGAAATATGTTATCAAGTATGTGCTGTATTATGTATTATTTAAAATTATAAACCATTTTTGTATGATTTTACGAACATTCAGGTCCATGCTAGGAGAAAAAGTGTCCTTCAGTTTTCAGAAATGTATAATCTATGACACGTGTTTATTATCTGTACTTCAAACGAGCCACTTGTAAACTTACCCCTTCTTATACATTAACCACAGGTCGTGAATAACAATTAAAACGATTCTACGCAAGCTCAACGTCGCAAGTTAAACCGCAACTTGAAATTTGTTCGTGTAACGCGTGCTAAAGTACAGTGAGTAAATAAAAAATAATTAACTTTCATAATTTTTCTGTAAATTCAAAAAAAAAACTAAGTCTTGCAACGCAGTTTTTCCACTATATTTTGTATAAGTTTTAAGTTGGCGCCTGGTAGATAGTACCGGTGACCCCAGTGCTGGTGCTTTCCTTGCTCAGTGAATAAGTATACAGCGAGGAATTGCTGCCAGCGTTAAAGGTACACCAAACTTTTTAAATTTGTTTTAATTTTCTTTTTACTCATTTTTAATTATTTTTATTATTAGTATCTAGGTTAAGAAAACTGTAAATACTGTATTTTATTGTTATGATTACTAAGCTTGCGTTTCTTAGACAATCTAATTCTTGAAACTCCTATTAATAAAACTGAATTCTATCACTCCTCCTTTACTGTGCAAAGTATCCTGCTATGGAATTCCCTACCAATTGGTATTAGACGAGCTCAGTCCTTAAATTTATTTAAAAAGCTTCTTTTTGATCATTTTCTTTGTGCCTCGTTATTAGCTCTGCTCATATGTATTAACTATCGTGACTCTGTTAACCTTTTGTTTGGCTTTTAAATTTTTGTTTATACATTATTATTAATATTTTTTCTTTAGATTTTACTTTATTTTATTTTAGTTATAGGAACGTGTTATTTTGAGTATTTTTTTTGGTTTTTGTTTATTATTTTTGCATTTCATGTACTCTACTATTTGTAGGTGCTTCTTTTTCATTGTTCTACTTTAGGGTTGCCAGGAAGAAATAGCTTGTTAGCGATAAGGCCGCCCGTTGCCTTATAACTTTTGTAACCGGTTTTTTTATTTTTGTTATGTGTATATTTTTGAATAAGATAATAAAGTATAAATAAAATGAGAAAGTAACGCCACTTGATTATTAAATCTTAAACATAGTAGGTTTGGAGACACAGAAAATGTCATGAAAAGAATTACTTAATGCATATATCAAACATTATCAGTCTAAGATCCAAGTCAAGACTGATTGCGTATATGTGTGCTTATGTTTTTTACATAAATGAGATAGTTTTATCCTAGAAAGACACATATTCTTAGTTTTGTATGTCAGGTTTTTGCTATCCCTACACTTGTACATATGTAATGCGAACATATTTTCAATTAAGGGCATCTAATTAAATCAAAAGGAGTTATTTTGAGTTGTACATCTCATGTGGTACGTGATAACATGTACTGTAACCAATTTAAAAAGACCCCTCTTGGTTATACGTGTAAACGACGTGTAAAGATGAATCAACTGCTCCAGTAATATTAAGTTTGAGCAGTGATGGCCTAGTGGCTTCAGCGTGCAGCTGTCATCCCTGGGGTCGTAGGATCGATCCCCGCTGTGCACCAATGGACTTTATTTCTATGTGCTCACTTAACATTCTCTCGGACGGTGTAGGAAAACATCGTGAGGAAACCGGCTTGCCTTAGATCCAAACAGCCGACGGCGTGTGACAGGCACAGAAGGCTGATCACCTACTTGCCTATTAGATGGACAAATCATCATGAAACAGATTCAGAAATCTGAGGTCAAGGTGGGCAACCGGGGCTACAGCCCTGGAGCCTCCACAAAAGAGATGCCCCCACAATAGAAAATGTTTTAAATTCCGACTAGTATACACTAGTAAACCACTTTTCTTTTGATATATTAAATACTAAAACTACTTGGTTTCACAATAAGTGAAAAATTCGACATAAAAAATAGTTCACTTTATTTGGAAAATAATTTGGGGCCTCCACCCCGTTGCTGCCCCGGGGCCTCCGGACCTCTAATCTGGCCCTATCTGTGGCCCAGATCTACAAACTTCAACCCAGATCAACAGACTTATGTACTTATTTTTATGTAATATTTATAGGGGTTTTAAATCTATACCACTAATCATTAGGTATATTTAATAAACTATAAACACGTATTATATACATTACAGTAAACTAATGGAACCTAAAATCTGACCAGCTTAGCAAATTCATACAAGTCTAAGTAAACCTCTTCACTCGGTACAAACATTGCGTGGAATCAAGCGCCTGGTTATGGCCGTTTGAGAATACAAACGATGCCAATCAGAAGTTTGATGTGTTCAAAATGTTCATTAGCATTTTATGGTTATACATTTTAAACAGATGTTCGTGGAATTACGGTTCAAATTACATTGATAAATAGAATTTAAACGTTAAATTCAAATATTTTGTGACTTAAATAATTTAAATATTGTATTGGTTTATCAGATAACATTAACATAAGTACTCATCGTCGGACGTCAAGGCAGAATACAAAGTACCTTCCGTATCACCTCGACGTCCGTCGTTCCACAGCTTAGCATGTCTGAAGGCAGTTTTTACCACGCACCACCACTATGTGGAACCAGCTGCCCACTGAAGTATTTCCGAACCGATTCGACTCAGGGTCCTTGAAGAAAAGAGCGTACCAATTCTTGAAAAGCCGGCAACGCACGCGAGCTTTCTAGCCTTATTACTTAACATCAGGTGATCCTCCTGTTGTTTGCCTCCTATTACATAAAAAAATTTATTTACCATAGATCCAACAATGACCACTAAACGGCCATAAGATTAATATAAAAACGTGATTTTCATCACATTTTTTCTTCATTTAGCGAATTAGTAAAATGTTCCATGTTAAACTTAGGAACAATTTTCGTACGTACAATCGTGCGTTTCCCAAGTTTTCTTCAAAAGCGTTCTCGTGTCAAAAGTTTTATCTTTTCGAAAGTAAATACCACGTGTTTGGTTCACACGATGTAATTGATCGTCTGTCTCTTTCTTTAGTAAACAAAGATGTGAACCCTCCAGCCGTCACACAATTACTTTCATAATACGTTGGACTATTTCAAAAGTTTAAATTAAAGCTCAATATAAATATATCTTTTAATATATAAAATTCTCGTATAAATATATATAATTCTCGTGTCACAATGTTCGTTCCCATTCTCCTCCGTAACGGCTCGACCGATTCTTATGGCATTTTTTATGCATATTCAATAAGCCTGAGAATATATATAGGCTACTATCTATCTTTGAATACCCCAAAAATATATTTTATCTATATCTATATCACATTAACATATTTCGTTGAGCCGAATGGCGATATCTACCGGCCATATTATGTTGTTTTCATTCCCTGTACATGTATAGATAGAAAGAAAATCCATTGGTATAGGCTAGGTCCAGAGACACAACCTCTAAGTTGACAGCCGTTTGCATAATAATAAACCATTACTCCTACTACTCGGTACGATATTAACGATAATTTATATTTTTAGCTTTTCTCGCGCCCACGCCACGCTACGTCCGTAGGCGTGGGTTACACCTACGGACGTGGCGTATCCCACGGGAACTGCTACTTAAATTTTCGTCAAAACAACTTGGAATTATATTATACATTATTAATTTAACTGTATAAATAGCAGTGCTCAATCAAATGCACAAAGATTAAACCATTATGTCGCATTCGTCTTCACGCATTTCTGTGTCCTTTAATTAGTATATACAGTTGAAAATAGGCATGTATAATGTAAGTCAAAGTAGCTGTATGATGTTATCTATATACTAGCTGATCCGGCAAACGTCGTTTTGCCATGTTTATCATTTATAATAAAAAATAGGGGTTGATCGTAGAGGGGTGAAAATTAGGTGTTGTATGTATTTTTTAATGCTGTATCATAAAAAAATAAAAATATTTTTTTTATCTAAAACTAAAAAATAAAATTAGGGGGACTACCCTTAACATTTAGGGGGATGAAAAATAGATGTTGTCCGATTCTCAGTAATACCCAATATGCACACAAAATTTCATGAGAATCGGCCAATCCGTTTCGGAGGAGTTTAACCACAAACACCGCGACACGAGAATTTTATATATTAGATTTCAAATTAAAGAAGTGGCGCTACAAGCCTTGGTCTTGGCCTGAGATTTCTGTTTTGTTTTGTAATCAGTTGTTTCTTCTAATAAGCAGATGACTTCTGTGTCTGACACACGCCGTCAACTTTTGTGGATGACAGGTATGCCCATTCCAATGCAATATTTACTTTATTGTACGACCGTGTGTGAAATGCGCACATAGCCAGAAAAGCCCATTAGTTAACAGCCAAGGTTCAAACTTACTACCTCAGAGGTTAGAGATCAAGCCACTAGACCAAAGCTTTTTTTGTATTTATTTTTAGTTTGAGATAGAAAATATGATTATAAAAATAACATGTGACAAGTATCCTTCTTGAGATTCTTGAGATCATCGTTGTTGTACATTGTTTAAGAATATTTTATCAACAAAATCGTGATCATACTAGCATTGTGCGTAGCATCAACAGTTGGAAATCAAAAATTACGAACAATGAACGTGCATTTGTCGATTTTAATTTTAACATCATTCATACTAAGCGTAAGTAATGTTTCATTAATTATTTTAAAACGCACACTTTCAAAACATTTACTGCAAAACGGCTATTATTCCTTTAAAATTATATCGCCGTAATTTTCATGTTATATAAACACTTTTAACGTTATAAAACACATTTCACACACAACATGCAAGGATTATTCTGAGTAAAGCGACGATTAATCCATGAAATTTGCCATTTCAACACGATATGACAAAACATTTCAATCTAGCTGAAATTCAGGATGCTTGGCAAACATTAGAAGACAGGCGGCATTCTCGAAATCTAAGAGGCGACTACCATTATCACACTAAACGACACATGCTGCCTCGGGAAGGCGAACCAAGAAAACGCGCTACCTCACAGCGACCAAAGGAATTAAGAAAAAAGGTATATGTTACAAATATTCTTTACTATTCTATCTAATTTAGTACGCTTGTTTCTAGTAACAATGAAGCCAACATAGATCTTCGTCAATCTTATACAATGACGCAATAGGACACGTAAACTAGATGTATGGCCTGCATCGTGGCGTAATAGATGGCACAAGGGTGTTTTGCATTTGTGTATATTTCTTAGAAATCTTTAAAGATCCATCGCTTTGGGTCTTATCATAGAGTATATTCTTTACAGGCAAGTAGGTGATTAACATTCATATGTACATACATACCATATATTGGTACATTTTGTTGATTTTGTTCTATTATGTGTGTTTTCTTTTCACTGTAAAAGCAAGTGCGTACGCACAAAAAGATCATATGTCCAAATTAAAACGTATTTTAGAATACCTTGTATAATATAAAGTAAATTTTGCTGATATTATTTTTATTATTATTTTTTTATATTAAACGAAATCAAATCAATGAATTCCATTTATTAAGACAATTTCAAATATGCTTACAGCCATCAGGTCATCTAACTCCTTTAAACGAAGATGACATAGAAAATGATGAAGTCGTTTCCGTAGCAGTTGGACCACCAGCGATCAGACCTAAATACGACAAACTATCAAAAAGTAATGGAAAATTAGTCCCATCTAACATTAATGCTGGTGATAGTAAAGCCAGCACTCTGGTTAAAGATGTTTTATTACAATTAGGAAGAGAATTATTGTCACGTCAAGTATCTGAAGATTTTGTGTTTGGTCAATACGTTGGAATGGCTATGAAAAATCTTACAGCGGACTTGAAATTGAGAATGCAACATGAAATTTTAGAACTTATAGTTAAATATCAAAAGCTGAAAACTGAACCACAAACAACGACCACACAACCCGAGGATAAAAGTACTAGTACTGTTTATAGTGAAGTCAAATATAAAGTAGAACTAATAGAGAAAGAAAAGAAAAACGACACGGATGAAGGTTGGCCCGATTTCAATAATTTAGCTAAAATTGTTGGTAAATAGAGATCATTCTGATCGGCTGATAACTGTATATAATTGTAATAAGTAAAACAATATAAAGTTTTGTGGACAAGTTGTAAACTTATAAATAAAAATTAGTATTTTTGTCTTTAATTTATGCAAGTACCATCAGACCACTAAATAAAACTTTTTAACGGAAATAAACGATAATAACATAAATTACATAGCTCAGTGTCACGAGTGCAAATCAGTCTTGAATAAATTTGCGTTTATTCCATTATTTTCATTTAAATATTAGTAATAATAATTATGCCTAATTTATTCCTTGAAACATACTATTTATAAAATATACACACATACCTACTTTTATACTACTCAAAGAGTAAAGACCTATAATCTGCTCCATCTCTCTCTATCTTAATAATTCTACCAATCTTCCCCACCAACTTCATTATGCTCTTCAGCCCACCTTACAAGAGAATGGCCTGTCTTTCGTTTCCCTGGTGAGTTTTTCCACTTTGTTACCCTATTTATCCATCCGTCATTGTTCATGCGAGCGGTGTGGCCTGCCTATTTCCACTTAAGATTTTAGCAATGGGATAGTGCATCAATCATTTTTGTACGTCTAATCTTGTCCTTTAGTTTTAAATTTAGTACACTATATTCCATTGTTGTTGACCGGTTGTTACTTTGTTGTATGTATTTCGAATCATATATCCATGATTGTTTAAGAAAGACGTTAAATATGTAGAAGCATTAATTAATTTTATTTATTGTCTAGCTGTCACAAAAACCAATCGAGCTAAGTTATATATTAATGTTTCTTAATAGTATGAACAGATAATGAATATCGGTTAGGTTGGATTGATAAATCAAAAGTGTCGTTTTTTTAAATACAAAAACTTTAATAATATGGCTTGTACTCATTAATAACGTGTAATGAAAATATATTAAATACTCCAATTACAATATGGAGTGAAAATAAATCTAATTCAAACCATTAGAAATTACGATAATTTATTTGAAAGCTTCTATCAAACAGGAAATCTGGTCTAAGTATTGCTCAAAGTCCAAGTAATTTCTTGCACAGTTTCACTAACTAAATACACCATTCACACGATTCACTGTTTATGTACTGAATTGAATGCTGGCTTCCTACTAGCTACATTACTTTTGAAAAGTACAGTTATAGCAAAAGGTTTCTTTTATGCTGTAACATTATATTTTTTAAAAATATCAAATACACGGCCATGTATGCATTCGGTTCATAAAAAAGATTCGTTTCTTAACGAGAAAATAGGTTTGAATCAATAATATATTTTAGAGGTAGTAGAAGGCAATATCTACTTACACTAAAGAATGATTGTAAAAATAGATAGTTTGCGTGCCTAATTAAAAGACTACGGAACTACATTTTATCACTGAAAATTAGAGTTGAATTTTAAAAAAAAACTTAGTTGTATTAAAAGGTTCCCTACGTAGAGATTGCTGGACACTGATAAGATCACCCGTTGCCCTCTTTATTATATGATTATTACATACTGTTCTGATTTTTGCAACGAGGTGTTTTAAAAAAACTAAAAAATATTTGGTAATTTAGTTTACTTATTTGGTTTTGAAATAACATATATAAACAAAGCGACAATGCAATTCTGAAAGCAAAATACGAGAACAATTGAAACTATAATTCCTGATTTAAGTTTATACGATGTCAAAAACAAAACTCGGGAAAAGCCGATGTGAAACGGCTAGCCATCTACCTTGCAAGTCATCAAGCAATCTCATTAAACATTTAGTTGAAACGACATGTTTCCTTGTATTCATTGTATGTGTTCCAATTTTTTATTAATTTAAACCATCACGATATTATACAACTAATAAGTTTGTCTGTATTATTGCTCCAATCTTTGGTTCCTAAATAGGGTCCAATTTAAATAATCATAAAGTTTGGTTAGTCAATTTACATAGCAAGTTATATAGCACTATATGTTGCTCGCGACACCTACGGTCTTGTAAGGTTTCGATGATGAGAATGATGATTTATTTGTGTAGGTTTACCTATTGAAAGCGTTTTTTATTACAATGTAGTAAAGTTAGTGTGGAATTCGCGAAAATTAAGTTTAATAAAATGTTATGTAAATTTGATTTTTTGATTTTCTGTTTCTCGCTGACTCCAACATATTTAAAGCACATCTAAACGTTGAGGCAATAATATAAAAAAATATATATCAATATTTCTATTCCCATTAACAAGGCCGTCTTAAACTAGGCTGGGGCCCTTGGGCACACAAAAATTTGGGGCCCTTTTGGAAAGTTAAAAAAAAGGGTAATTATAATAACATTTTTTACTAAGTATGACCATTTATTATAGGTAAATATTTTGAGAATAAAAGTGTGAGAAAATTATAGGTCCTTCGGGGCCCCCTAAGAATGGGGGCCCTGGGCACGGGCCCTGTGTGCCCTTATGGTGAAGACGGCATTGCCCATTATAGCGCAAAGATTTAGTCACGAGGAATTTCTGAAAGCAAATAACGACTCTCAGCTGTAGCATCGTTAGCGAACGTCAAAATTGTAAAATGTGCACTTTTGTGTCTACGGTTCATTAGTGCCACTCCGTGTAGATGACGCCTCTAAAACGTTTATTTTGCGATTCCCCGAACAGTGTAATAAGGATATAATTGTGCAAACTTGCTTGCGAAAGCGAGATATTTGCATATTTTACTAATTGGTTGTATCTGTTATTCAGTAGATTGAAATATACCATCGCAGACTAGGCAGGTGTTTTAGCGGTAACTTAAAATTCTTTAAATCTATTTTAAGTGTTATTTATATATGTTTTGTGTTTAATTATAAAATTGTATGTCTTACGTAGAGATTATTATGTCAAGTAGTGCACTTTCTTTTTAACTAAGCATCCTTTTATATTATGTAAAATAAAGTTTTTTTTTATTTTTCCCCAATCGCTCCTGTGTTCTTCATCATTCTACAGCTCCTGTAGCCATCGTACTGATTATTTTCGCATATTGTGGGTGCTACCGATGCTATTGACAGATCCAAAACAAATGAAATTCAACATCGTCTTCTGTTTTATATTATGACCCCCTGGTTGATAAATATACTACAGAGCATATTGTGAACACCAATTTGCCCACCCTCATAAGGTTGCTACTGAAAGAGCCTTCCACTAAACGGAAGTGAGTACTCATTTAATTAAAACTTGTACATAATCACTTCTTTATACAGCCGCCATCTTTTTTTCGTTTCACTAATTTGAAAGCAATTACAGTGGAGTACCAACGTCTGAATATCAAGCACTTCTAATTAGGAGCAGCTCAAAAAGTTTTTTAATTGCACTCCTGGTTTGACCCTACCCTTGAATAGGTTGAGGATGCACTGAGCTCCTGTTAGATCGATATCAACAGCTGTTTCCGTCGCTGGTAGATGAATACTTCTAACGAACGATATCAACAGCTGTTTCCGTCGCTGGTAGATGAATACTTCTAACGAACGATGGGCTGTAATTACACTAAATAATTTTTATTTAGGTAGCTTTTATAAAATACCTAAGGTAACTAGGAATTACCAGGAACGGCCTACCCTAGAAAAATATAATACGTGTAATATTGGTATGTATGTGCGCACGCATGTGTTTATGGATGCGTGTTTGTGACACTGTGTGTGACTATTAATTTTTGTACATTTATGTATTTAGTATAAAAAATCTACCTTCCATATATTACAGCTTACATTTAGCAGTGAATTATGCTCAATTACAGATTTTTTGCATAAAAACTAGATAGGTTGATTAGTTAATTTTTTAAGGTATTAGTTAATTTTAGTTAAATACTACTCAAGTATATATCTATACCAGGGCAGATCCAGGTGAAGGTATCCCTTTTGAGTCTGTATTTGAGTGTAAAAATATGAATGGGTCTACCCTAAAACTATGACTCAGTTTTGTAATGTGTATAAATTACATAAACCACCTCAGTATATTCATACCTTTATCTTGAAATCAGCAGGAAATGTGATTTATTAAAATTAATTTCTTTTCTAATTGAAGTTTGACACAGCCTTTGTTCTCTGACATTTTTTATCGATATCCGATTCCTTGACCTCGTTCATAATGACTGGACGTTTTGTGTAATAATTTAATTTATGGTTTTTAATTACTCATCGATTTTAACGGAAATTTATATGTAATGAGATGTTTTGTAACGAATGTAATGCAATTAGTGTTTACTATGGTATTTACTTAAATATGAAAAACAAGATTAAAATTCTTACCTTTTAACTGCTAAACGGTGTAAAACTCGATAATTAATGTGCTTAATCATACAAGCTGTACGTAATGTGAGTTTATTTATTTAAAACTACCCACATATTTCAATATTTAGCAAAGAGACGACAACAAGCCAAGAAGCTTCAATAGGATTGACACACAATCTATACTAATATTATAAAGGGAAAGATTTGTATGTAAGTATATTTGTAACGAATTGGCTCAAAAAGTACTGGACCGATTTAAAAAATTCTTTCACCATTTGAATGTTACATTACCACTGATTACTCGTAATATAGGCTTTATGTTCTTGCTATTTTATTTGCAAGAAAAAAATAAGGATCCCTACTAAAGCTACAATAATGTTCCCCAAGGTGTATACAAAATGCATATAAAATATATTTCATCGCATGCGCTGCGAAAACTATTGATGATAGAACAAATGCTCCACAATTTTAAAGAACATTTCAATATTTACAAAAAAATTCGTAATAGCTTGTATAATGTATATATATAAAGAGGTATAAAGCTTATAAGATTTTCTATAAAATTCACGTTCTATTTACAAAATACAACAAAATTAGTTTCATATAAGCAACATTTCCCTTATTAAAATGAAAAAAGCTCTTCGGTTTCGCAACCATGAAGCCTTCTAAGCCGGTATGGTAATTGCGAAGGCTGTAAAAGTACGGCTAAAAGCAAACAGCGATAAAAAAAGAGAAAAACTTGGTTAGAAGTGTGAATTTGTAAGGCTGCGGTC